CCACACACACACACACACACACACACACACACACACACACACACACACACACACACACACACACGCTTTCGTGATCCTCCAAATGAACTGAGGTGCCGTGGGTGGAGGGAGGCAGCTGTTGGCCCAAGTGGAACACCCCCTCCCTCCAGGGTTACCCCCGGCTCCCGAGGGCAGGAAGAGGTACAGTGACATCTTCCAGAGCCTGGACAACCTCGAGATCTCACTGGGGACTGTGTGAGTCTGAGCCTAGGTCATCCCCAAATCTTGCTAGGATCCCAAACCCCAAGCCATTTAGGTGCCCCGAAGCCCCCCTAGGAACCTGCAACACTTGGACCCACTTACCTCATAATACTTGTATATCCCCATAACCAACCCCCCAAATCCACTGAGAATCACCAGCGTGGTCCTAAACCAAACCAAACCCATTGCCATCGAGTCAATTTAGACTCATAGTGACCCTATAGGACAGAATAGAACCACCCCATAGGGTTTCCAAGGCTGTAATCTTTATGGAAAGCAGATTGTCTGGTCTATCTCCCACGGAGCAGCCCGTGGGTTTGAACCACTGACCTTTCGGTTAGCAGCCAAGTGTTAAGCCACTGCACCACTAGGGCTCCCTAACGTGGTCCTAGTACCCCACATATCCTTCTTGTGACCTCTTAAAACATTTGGGGTCCCTATAGTCCCACTCTATGAACCCAATTTACCTGGGACCCTTCAAACCCTTTCCCAAGCCAGGTAAAAAAATTACCTGGTCCCCTAAACGCCCCATCCTCAGACCTCCCAGACACAAGAGATGCTGCCACAGAAGTGATATCCAGGACCATCCACCAAAATCCCCTGAGGTCCCCAGCACTCGCAGACAGGACAGACTAGGTGGAGGGTGGGTGGCATCCTGACATCTCTACCCTCCAGAACCCTTGAGTTGCTGGTTGGAGACCCTGTGCTCTCAGGAGACCCTGAGCCTGACAAGGCCCCCACAGCCACTGTGGTGAGAGAGGTGGGGTGGCCTCTGGGGGAGGGGCTTTGGGAGGGGAGTTCAGGAACAAGGGGGCTTAAGAGAGGAAAGGCCTTGGGGAGGAGGGGGCACTTGGAGGAACAGGGCTTCAGACCAGTTGCTTCTGGTTCAAACCCCTGCTGAGAATTTTCCTTTTCACCCCAGATACACTGAATCAGAATCTACAGTTTAACAAGATCCCCATGTGATTCTTATGTATAATAAATTTTAATACCCACTGCTCTACTAGTGATTCTCAGAATTGGTCCCTAACCACCAGCATTAGCATCACCTGGGAACTTGTTAGAAATGCAAATTCTCAGTAAAAGGGTTCAAACCTAAAAAACCAGGTTTGATGCCCTGGGGAGGAGGGGGCTGGGACCCTGCCCTGCTTGCTCCTGAGTGCTCTCTCCCTCCTGCCCCAGACCAGCGAAACCTGTTGTTGGAGCAGCCCCTCCCCAGAGGGTCCTGCACCCCTCAAAGGTACGGGGCGTTTGTGGCCAGGGTGGCTGGGGCAGAAAAGTGTCCTTCCTCCAGCAAGTCAGGACTGAGTGCCTCTTCCGTGTCAGGCATTGTTCTGGGTGCTGGAGACCTGGTGGTGCCCATGACAGATCAGCTCCCAGCCCTGCCCTTAGGGAGCCCCCCAGGCCAGGGGAAATTAGATGGTTACCAACCAGTGTAAAGTTGCAACCAGGACACGAGATCCCAAATGGGTGTTTGAGGAAGCCATGAGGGTGTAGAATGGGGCCACTGGTCTGGTCTGGGGCCTCAGGGAAGGTTTCTACTGGGGGGCAGGGGTCACAGTCCGGATTGTGCCTGTCTACCCCAGGGGAGGAACTAGACTTGCGGTTGATCCGGACCAAGGGGGGTGTGGACGCAGCCCTGGAGTATGCCAAGACCTGGAGCCGCTATGCCAAGGAGCTGCTGGCCTGGACTGAGAAAAGAGCTAGCCACGGTGAGAGCCCCCTGTGCCCTGCCTGGAGCCCTAGACAGTGCCCCCACCCTGGCTAGCAGGGCCCAGACTGTGGCTGTCTCTCCCCCAGAGCTGGAGTTTGCCAAAAGCATCATGAAGATCGCGGAGGCCGGCAAGGGGTCCATCCACCAGCAGGTAGCCATGAGCAGACCCTGGGTTGGGCCCCATCCCTGCCTCAGCCCCGCCCAGGTCCTCAGTCTCCTCCTGCCACTCCCCTGCCCCCCAGAGCCACATGCCACTGCAGTACATCTATACCTTGTTTCTGGAGCACGACCTCATGCTCGGGGCCCAGGCGCAGGAGACAGTGACCCAGCAGAGGAGGGACTACTTCCAGGTGAGGGGGCAGAGCAATAGTGGGGGACTGTTCTTCCTTTCCTGCGGGATTCCATCCACAGCAACCGAGAGGAGAGTACCATCGTCATCCTCACCATTGTCGTCTTAGTAACTGGCCCAAGGTCATGCAGCATATTCAGACCAGGCTTCCTGTGTGATTGGAATGTCTTGTTTATGGAGGAAGTAAGGTGCCCGAGTGTTCTAGGAAGGAGCCTTGGGTCTCTGAGGGCAGGCAGAGGGCATGGGGTGACCACTGAAACTCTGCCTGGACATAGGGTGGGGGGAGCGGGACCAGAGAAGGAAATGCATGTGGCCGTGGGAAATGGAGGAAATAACGAGTTCCAGGCCCAGGAAGGCCCTCGGGGGCCCCTTTGGGGTTGCCGGGAGGTGGCATTCCTATCCCCTACCCCAACTCCCTTCCCAGCCCCTGGCGGCCAAACGGACTGAGATTGAGAAGTGGCGAAAGGAGTTCAAGGAGCAGTGGACCAAGGAGCAGAAGCGAATGGTGAGGCCCGGGGTGGGGGCGGGGAGGCCTGGCTGAGGGAGGGGCAGGTATCATGGGGGTGGCACTGACAGACCACCTCCCCCAGAATGAGGCTGTGCAGGCATTGCGGCGGGCCCAGCTCCAGTACGTCCAGCGCAGCGAGGACCTGCAGGCCCGCTCTCAGGGGTCCCCAGAGGATCCGGCCCCCCAGGCCTCGCTGGGGCCCAGCAAGCAGCAGGAGCGGCGACGGCGCTCGCGGGAGGAGGCCCAGGCCAAGGTGGGGACCTCCTATACCCTTCCAGCCCTGGCACTGCCACCCCACGCCCTCGCTCACACGCCTCCTGCTTCGGTTTCCCTAGGCGCTGGAGGCCGAGGCGCTGTACCAGGCCTGCGTCCGTGAGGCCAACGCGCGGCAGCAGGACCTGGAGGCCACCAAGCAGCGGATCGTATCGCACGTGCGCAAGCTGGTGCTGCAGGGGGACGAGGTCCTCAAGCGGGTGAGGCCCTTCCCTGGAGTCGCCCGTGTCCACCTCCTCCGTGTTACCAGGCCCCGCCCCCAGATGACCCTGCCTAGAGTCTCCGAGCTACCCCTACTTGGGCGAGGCTAAGTTCCATCCAGCCCTCCAAGCCCACTCCTGCCAATCCTACCTGACCGCCCCAAAATGACAGCGCCCCAGTCCCCAGGCTGACAGCCCAAGTTTCTAAATCAGCTCCCAGTTACAGCCCTGCCCCCAGCTGACCCTGCCCCCCGTGTCTATGACCAGACCACGCCCCAGGCTTTCTGGCCCCGCCCCGAGGCTCCCTGACCCACGTACCGTCTCTGCCCCGCAGGTGACCCTGGGCCTGTTTGGGCTGCGGGGTACACAGGCGGAGCGTGTCCCTCGTGCCTTTGCGGCCCTGGCCGAGTGCTGCGCACCCTTCGAGCCTGGCCAGCGCTACCAGGAGTTTGTGCGGGCGCTGCGGCCAGAGGCCCCACCGCCTCCGCCTCCGCCCTTCTTCTTCCAGGAATTCGTGCCCGCCACGCACAGGTGGGCTGGGGGCGGGGTGTGTTGACACCATGGGGCCCGAGTACTCCGCGTCAGTACTCAGCCTCAGTATTTGGGGTCACTGAACTCAAAGCCTCTGGACTTGAGATTCAGTGCCCAAGGCTCTCATTTTGGAGGACACTGTCCCAGTACTGGGAGGGCCGAACTTTGGGGTTACTGCCCTGGTGGGGCCACAGTACACAGGGGCGTCAGGGCTTGGCGCCTGGGTGCTGTCACTACTGTGGGGATTGAGCCCTCAAATCCTCTCTTAGCTCCCCTCCCAACACTAGAAAGAAGCTCTCAGGCCCCCTGCCGCCTCCGCGGCTGGATGAGGGTGTGGCTGAACCAGGCCCCTGGGAGGATGCAAGCCTCCGCTGGCAGGGTGAGTGCCATAAAGGCTGGGTAGGCAGTGGTGCCAGGCTGGGACCAACCTCACTGATCTGTTCTCTCCTAGGGACCCCAGGCCCCACCCCAGGCAGCGATGTGGAGAGTGTGGGCGGTGGCAGCGAGTCTCGGTCCCTGGACTCTCCTACTTCCAGCCCAGGTGGGGCCAGGTTCTGGTGCTGAACCACTCCTGACCTCTGACCATCCTCTAGCCACTGGTCAATCTCTGACCCTCATCTTTGACCTCTGACCTACCCCCCACTCCTGACCTATTTTTCCATTCTCTTGACCCAGCTTCTAAACTACTTACTCCCTAGGCCACAAATCCATTCTCTAACCCCTAACCCCTGACCTGTGTGAGTAACCCACTCCTGACCTCTGACCCCTTTCAGCAAGGGCATCTATGGGTAGTTCTGGAAGCCAGAGGGTCTTCTCAGCCCTGTGACCTCCCCATGACCTCTGTGACCCTCTGGCTCCAGGCCCTGGCTCCAGGCTGCTAGTGAAGGCCTCATCTATAGGCACCGAGTCCTCAGATGACTTTGAGGAGAGAGACCCTGGTGAGGCTGGAAGCAGGGAGGGGTAGGGCAGGGTAGGTGGGCCAGGCCCCTGACCCTCTCTCCCCACAGACCTGGGAGATGGACTGGAGAACGGGATGGCGGGTCCCTTCAGGAAGTGGACACTATCCAGTGCAGCACAGACCCACCGGCTGCGGCGGCTGCGGGGCCCAGCCAAGTGCCGCGAGTGCGAGGCCTTCATGGTTAGCGGGACCGAGTGTGAGGAGGTGTGTCCAGGGCCCATGACCTGATGACCTCTGCTGACCCCGATGGCCTCCCTGGCCCTGGGCTCCCATGACTCCAGGGATATCCCCAACTTGAGATCCCTGTGACCTTCCCACCCCAGGACCTTCGCTGATCTCTGATGGTCTCCCATGACCCCTTGACCCCTAAGAATGCCTATGACCTTTTCTTCCTCCATGGGCCCCTGATGACCTCCCTGACTCCAGGCCCCTGTGACCTCTCCCCCAGTGCTTTTTGACCTGCCACAAGCGCTGCCTTGAGACACTGCTGATCCTCTGCGGACACAGGCGACTCCCAGCACGGACCACCCTGTTTGGGGTCGACTTCCTGCAGCTGCCCAGGGACTTCCCGGAGGAAGTGCCCTTTGTGGTGACCAAGTGCACGGCTGAGATAGAACACCGTGCCCTGGATGTGCAGGTGCCACCTTAACCCCCTCCCCCCCCATCCCCAGAGATGACCTGGCCCTGCTGATGGCCAGAGTCACCGAGCCAAGTGTCTACCCTGCCCCCGCCGGCCCTGCAGGGCATTTACCGGGTCAGTGGGTCCCGGGTCCGCGTGGAGCGGTTGTGCCAGGCCTTCGAGAACGGCCGCACATTGGTGGAGCTGTCAGGGAACTCACCTCATGATGTCTCCAGTGTCCTCAAGCGGTTTCTCCAAGAGGTGGGTGCTTGGGAGCTGGGGAGAAAGGGGATGGGCAGGCCTGGGATGAGGCCCTCCGAGCCCACCCACACCTGTGTCCTTGCCTGTTGCACCCCCAGCTCACCGACCCCGTGGTCCCCTTCCACCTCTACAATGCCTTCATCTCTCTGGCCAAGACCCTGCATGTAGACCCTGGGGACAACCCTGGGACCCCCAGCCCCAGCCTCGAGGTCATCCGCTCGCTTAAGACCCTCTTGGTGCAGCTGCCTGACTCTAACTACAACACCCTGCGGCACCTTGTGGCCCATCTGTTCAGGTGGGCACTGGTGACCCTTGACACATGACTTCTGATCTGAGGTATGGATCTATGACCCCTGAACATGTAACTACTGACCTCAGGAGCTAACCCCTGACACTGACCTCTGACCTTTGACAGGTGTTTTCTGGGCTCTGAACCTTAATACACAACTCCTGACTTTGGGTACTGACCCCTGACCCCCAACCCTGGCCATGTGCCTCCTGATCTCAAACAATGCCCCAAACCACTAATCCATGACCTGGGCACGTCACCAGTGTGGGTCCTGCCCTTAACCTGAGGCCGATGGCTGTGCACCCTGCCCTGACCCTTCTCCCCACACTCCCCAGGGTGGCTGCACAGTTTGAGGAAAACAAGATGTCTGCTAACAACCTAGGCATTGTGTTTGGGCCGACGCTTCTGCGGCCACCGGGCTGTCCAGGGGCAGCTGGTGCCGGCCCAGTCGCCTGTCTGCTGGACTCAGGGCACCAAGCCCAGCTGGTTGAGTTCCTCATCGTGCACTACGAGCAGATCTTTGGGATGGATGAGCTGCCCCTGGCCACGGAGCCCTCATCCCACAACCCCAGCCCAGCCCCTGGGGCCCTCACAACCAGTCTTCAGCCAGTACCCCCACAGCTCGTCCAGGATCCCCTGCCCCCAGCCCTAGCTTCAGACCCAGGCCCAGACCCCGAGCCCCAGTGTGTCCTGGAGAAGGATCCTGCAGCTGTGCCTGCCGAGGTAGGAACTGGCTGCTTAATCCTCTCTCTTCCTTTCTTTCCTGTTTAAATTTTCTCTTTCACTTCTTCCCCCCTTTTTTTATGTAACCTGGGCTCATTCTGGAAGGAACATTGAAAAATAGAATGGTGGCTTATAATGGAGTAACAACAAGGGTAACAACGTGGGGTGACCATTCATTCCTTCAACAAAACACTAATTGAACACCTACTATGTTCCTGGGTGGTGCAAATGCTTAAGCACTCGACTATAAGCCAAAAGGTTGGTGGTTCAAACCCACCCAGAGGCACCCTGGAAGACAGACCAGGTGATATGCTTCCAAGAGGTCATAGCTTTGAAAACCCTGCGGAGCACAGTTCTGCTTGACAGCAGCTAACAACACAGCAACACTGTGTGCCAAGCATAGGTCTAGATACTAGAAATAACATCAGTATACATCAGAGCACAATAGGCCAACACTCCATCCTCCTAGCGCCTGCTAGACCACAGTAAACCACAAATATGATGCAAAATCAGTTATGTAGGTGAGGCTGAGGCATAAGGAGTACTATGGAGAAGAGAGAGGGTAAGAGGCATCAGGGTACCAGGTAGGGAGTGGAGAAGAGTTTGTAGTAGTAAATAGGATGTTGTGGGCAGGCATCATGGGGGAGGCAGATAGGAGCAAAGACTAGAAGGAGGTGAGAGAGCCATGTGGAGATGGGAATTGTGTTCCAGGCAGGGGAACAGCCAGTGTCAAGGCCCTGAGGTGAGGGCCTGGGGTGTTCAGGGCAAAGCCTGGTGCTAGAATGAGCGAATAGGGGAAGGTGGCAGGATGTGAGGTGAGCAAGAAGATGCCCGGATGGCTCTGCAGGCCACCACTGACCGCACACTTACTACGCCAAAACCAAAATCAAACCTGTTGCAGTCTAGTCAGTTCTGACTCAGAGTGATCCTACAGGACAGAGTAGAACTGTCCCTGTAGGTTTTCCGTGGCTGTAATCTTTACAGAAGCAGACTGCCGCATCTTTCTCCCATGGAGTTGTTGGTGCGTTCAAACCTTTCAGTGAGCAGTCAAACGCTTAACCACTGCACCACCAGGGCTTCTCCTTGCTATGCAGGGGCCACTTTGTAAGACGCCGTGGGAGCCGAAGCAGTAGGATCTTTTAACAGAGCATGCCCATCAGGACCAGAGCACAGTTGCAAACCAGGAAGCCCTGTGCATGTGACTCATATGGAGGCTCCCCTCCTTCCTTCAGATCCTGCTGCACCCACTGCTCCCAGAGTGCTGCCCTCCCCCACAGCAGCTCAGAGCTGAATGCCAGTGTCTGACACACAGAAGGGACTCACTATTTAGCTAAAGGTAGAACAGTGAGGATACCAATTAAGAACAGACAACATTTCAGAAGCAGAGCCGCATGGGGACGAGTTCATGGCCAACACCGGCCCTGACCTGGAGATGACTGAGTCACTCTGCTGTGCGGGCCCTGTGTTTGGGACTGGGCTGCAGGGCTGCCCCCTTAGAGCCCACAGTCGAGACTGATCGATGACCCTGGAAGTTAAATGCTGCCCTGTGCAAGAGAGGCAAGCAGTACACTTTAAAGAGCATCATCATCTATCCCCAAATACCAAAACTGCAAAGGAACGTCTGCGTGCCCAGGAACAAACCCTTGGCTCTCCAAGAGTCTCGAAGAACTGGGATTTTACGGTTCGGTCTCATTCTTGGGTTTCTTCATGCAGAGTCCAACCCTGCAGAGTGACCAGAGAGAGGAAGCGGCCACAGACACCAGAGACGGAGGAGGCGAAGGTATGTTGAGGAGCAAGCAGCCCAGGAGTTCTGGGGGTGGCCCTGCCCTAGGCTGGTTTGGGTGGGAGATGGCTCCTGGGGGGAGGCCCAGAGGCCTTGGGGGTGCTCAGCATTGGCCACCCCATCCCCATAGCATCCAACCGAGGTCCTGAGGACTCACTCCTGGGAACGCAGTCCCGTGGCCACTTCAGCCGCCAGCCCGTGAAGTACCCTCGGGGGGGCGTGCGGCCTGTCACCCACCAGCTGTCCAGCTTGGCCCTGGTGGCTTCCAAGCTGTGTGAGGAGACCCCTGTCACATCAGTACCCCGTGGGAGCTTGCGGGGACGGGGGGCTGGCCCTGCTGCCGCCTCCCCTGAGGGCAGCCCCCTGCGCCGCACCCCGCTGCCCAAGCACTTTGAGATCACCCAGGAGACAGCCCGGCTACTCTCTAAGATGCACAACGAAGCTGTACCCAGAACCACCTGCTGCATGGACCCCCAGCCTGAGGTCGTGGATCCCCAACCTGAGGAAGCTGAGGATCATCTCTGACCATCCCTCATCCTGGCAGAGGGGCCCAGGACTGAGAAGATGGACCCACTTCTCCCTCTACCTTCCCCCAACTGGCAGCCAGACATCAGGCCCAGGAGTTCAGTGTTGGGGACTCAGGAGAGTTCCTATGAGGAACGACTGGACTCAGGGGAGTTCCTATGAGGAAAGAGTTCCTATGAGGAAAGAGTTCCTATGAGGAAAGGCCCAAAACCTCTGTGGGGCAATGTCCCAGGACCCCCTGTCCCCACCAGACATAGGTCACTGCCAGCATCAGGGTCACTCAGGGTCAATGCTCAGGGTCAACATAGGTCTCTGGATCCTTAGGGTCCACCCTAGTCTCTGTCCCCTGGGGCAGGGGTGCCTTTTGCTACTTTGGTTGTAGCCATTCCCTCATCCCCTCCTCCTGGCCCTGCCTGCCTGCCTCCTTTGCTGACTCCAGGTGGAGAGAGTGGGCTGCCCAAACCCGACTCCCCACATCCTGGTGAGGTCTGGGGTCGGTGGTCCCTGAATAAACCGTGTCATGTGTACTCTCGCGTGTCTTTCTTTACCAGGGGAGGGTGACAGAGAAGTCAGTGAGGGCAGTATCTCCTGCCCCAGTTCTCCTGGCAGGGGAAGCTGAGGTCCCCTTTAACCCGCAAACATCCCTGAGCAGACAGCTGCGGCGGCCCCCGGTGAGTCATGCTGTCGGCCCCTCCCGGAGCTTCGAGTCCCCAATCCGGTCCTGCATAATCAAACAAATATAACAAAGTGCAGATAACCGGGACAATGCGGCTGTGTGCTCTGCCCGGCCGCCGCGCAGAGGCCGGGGGAGGAAGCCGCTGGGCCGGGCCGGGCCAGGCAGGGGGTGCGGGGGCGAGATCACGAGAAACCTGAGTGCAGCTGGACCATCGGCCGGGGTCGGAGAGGCCCAGGGACCACGGCGGCCCCGTAGCTCCAGGCTGGGGAAGCAGAAGCTGGTGGTGGTCTCCATGGTGGGAGTGGGGTCGGATCAGGGCGTGGCTTGCAACTCAGCGACGGATTGGATGCCAGGGAGCGGGCGGGGACCGGCGGAGGCGCGGACCCGAGACCACCCGGAGCTGCGCCCCAAGCAGTGCTAGTTCAGGGCGGGAATTCTCCGGCCGCCGGGCAACTCAGCACCGAAGGTCCGAAACTGCAGGCATGGGAGGTGTGCCGAGGCCAGGGCCGGGGTCCTGCGCCGGAAACCGAGAGTACTAACCCAGGGGCCGCCCAGCGGGGAGGAAATAGAGGGGCTGAGGTTCCCGGCGACCCCGCCCCCGTCGCGAAGGCTGGGCTCCCCAGGTGGTTGCGGCGGGGTTTCCCCAGGTGGTGGGGGCGGGGCGGTCGGGCGTCTCGCG